GGCAAAAACGTGGGTGTTCGCAGTGTACATAACAAAAATTGAGCAATAGACAGTTTTGTTCGCCGTTTAAAGCTACATCGAATGGTGTATAAGACTTTCCTTCAAACTTGTTGTGTCCTGAGAAAATCGTCATCGGCTTCCTGAGAAAGCTGTCCTGAGAATTCGTCATGTTTCTTCTATGGTTTCACTTCGAATTAAACAATGCTCAACGAAGATTCTTAATTGTTTTCTGAAACCGTTGTTCGACTGGTTTTCGAATAACTTTTTCTAGAGACGTGTGCTTTTTAGTTTACTGAAGCAGAATAGAACTATTTTTGTGCTCTTAAGAGTCAACTGTTATTTCGAAAACAGAAGAAAAAGAAAGATAGATTGTTTGCTGGAGAAATCCCTGTATTATTTGTCATTTCAGTATACAGCGAAGATGGTGAAATAATTTTTTTTTCTCTACGTTATAAAGACGTTTTTTTAACACTTCCTTGTCACTCGATAAAATTCAATAGAATTTTATAAGACATTTATTGTACTAGTCGAACAAGCAAAAAGGTAAGGAAAAATAATTGATAGCCTTTATAAATTTTTTATTACATACTTTGTGCACTTAGGTAGTACAAGTATACGGGTAGAAATAAGCTGTTATTCTACTGTGGCGCTGTTGACTAAATAAAGATATAGTCATTTTTCATTTAAACTACGTCAGAACTTGTAAAAATTAAGAATCCATATGTCTAGAACTCATTTCTTAATTTTCTATATCTACAATCGTAAGCAGAGTCCCGTTTTTTACTATTAGAGATAAATTTCCAGCAAACAGGTTTTTAACACAAAAGCTCGGTTTTCTACCGCATTAACGGCTTTTCTCGTAACACTAGCCTAACTCAGTAAAAAGAATCACATCGAATGATGTATGTCTCAATATTGTTTGAGGAAATTATTTTTTTAAAATATTTTGCACTGACGTCATCATCAAATACTTCACTTGAATATAAAATATTAATCAAGATTACGAATACTTTACCAATGACTATAACGAATATGGTATGTTAATGGTATGGTATGTTAATAACTATAACAAGATGGTATGTCAATAGCTGCCTACCGCAAGTCTTCGAAACAGTATCGGAATGGAGACAAAAGGCCGGTCTTCGAGGTCTCATTTTGGATGACGAGAACGCAAGGCCGCATAGAGCTGAAATTGTTAGCGAATTTTTGGCCGAAAATCGTGTCGAATCATATCCAAATCTATCATATTCGCCAGATCTAAGTCCATGTGACTTCTTTTTGCTTTCGAAACTCAAAAATCAATTCAATGATGAATGAATTCAATTCAACGACGGTACTGGATTGTTGAACGCGTTAGAACAAGCCATTGACAGTCTCACAAAAGATGATTTCAAAAACTTCTTCGATTACTGGTTTATTCGAATGCACAAGTGCATTGATGCTGATTGACAGTACTTTGAAAAATTACGCTAGAACCAGTCTTGGAATATTTGTCTAAAGGGCTGGCGAAAAACCTTTTTTAGTGCCCCTTGTATAAATACATATATTTATGTATGAAAATACAGTGAGCGAAAGAGTGATAAAAGAAGAAAGATCATGCCCAAATATTTGTGAAAACAGACAAGTTTTTTGGACTTTGAAAAAGACGAGTATATAAGTTACTCAACAGTAACGATGGAGAAAACAACGGAGAATCTGTGGATCTGACAGTAGGTTTTTGAGATCCCATTGGGAAAGACGAAAAGTAATATTCAACTATTATAAGTTTAGGTTAATGGCTTAAAACGACTAGAGATTCTTTAAAGAGAAGACGATATGCATAATTTTCATTCAAAAGAATATTTTTATTATCTTTTAAAAGATTAGACTGATACTCTGATAGAAAGAAAAAATTGTTCATGTAGTCACAGAACACTTCATTTAAGACTAACATCGTGGTTAATTCGCTGAAGTTCGTTCTGGTTTGATATCGGTGATGTAAGTCGTCTAACGGTTTGCTTTTTCTAAAAAATTTCACATAAACTCCACCAGTAATACTGATTAGAAATAATAATGGGGTGACGATAGAACACCACCAACTAATGCAGTTACATTCAGTGGATTCTTAACGTATGAATAAAGTAATGATACTGTTATCAAGATGCACTAAGCATACCTGCTGACATATTGGAGTTGTATCGTCAGTTTTTGATAATTATTAATCAGTGATATACTGCTTATTAAAACAAAAATAAGCAAAAAATGGCTATCATACTTGAAAAGTGTCCGTTGAGTATTCAAACGAACCTTAAATCAATTCTCAAAAACATCAGAATACGTCACTTAAGTACTTGAATAAATACGAATGACGTATCTAAATTGCTATCTTCAGTGCTAGTGATATTACTGACACAAAATACTCTGTATCAACCTTCGGTACTTCCATTAGGATTGTAGACAATTGGCATATTTTGATATCAACTCTGCTATTATTCACCTTTTTCTTGTTTGAAACTAAAAGTAAACATCATCTAAAACAACCAGTTATTAAACTTGAAACATTTTGTTTCGAATGAATCACTGAAGTTACAAGAAACAAAGAAAAAATAGGTGGTGAAGATGACAGAATCATTATCTATATTTGTCGAGTCAACATTGTATAATACAGATCACATTTGGGTTTAGAAATCATATTTTTTAAATAAAGACTGTTATTTCCACATGGCTCAACTTTCCACTGATACAGATATGCTTAATCGACAATGTGATGAATTAGATTCTCTCGGCACATTTTTATCAAAATTAAGAGAACAATTGCTTACCATGTCAATGGATGCTAAAATAACACGAATTAAATTAGAGAAATTTACCGAATTACTAGATTCAAAAGTAATAGAATGTGATCAATATAAAGATATTGCAAAACAATTTAATCAGGTAGTATTAAAAATAAAGAAAGATGTTGATGAAACACAAGCAAATTTGTTTAATGAAAGTAAAGAATGGTATCAAATTAAACAGAAATTGGCGATGGCAACGGCAGGTGGTAAAGTAACATTGAATGTTGGTGGTGAAAAATATCAAACATCCATTGAAACATTAACAAGAGAAAAAGATACATTTTTTACGGCATTATTTTCGCGTCAATGGGGACTCGAAAAAGATGAAGAAGGATGCGTTTTTATCGATCGAAATGGAAAATTATTTGGGATCATTCTAGAATATTTGAGAACTGGACGATTATTATTGCCTAATAGTGAGGATAGTGCATTACGACAGAGTTTAATGATTGAAGCTGAATTTTACCATTTGAAAACATTACATTACCTATTATCAGGGAAAAAAGAGAAAATGATGGAGACATAACAAGTGCCTATCACAATAAAAGATCCCCTTGAACTCACTTTGTAAATTGTATAAAAGACTACGCTATTTTTCATTTTTTACTTATAAGCCTTGTAACATTAACAATAAATATTTTTTATTGAAAGCAAATTCCTTTTCTCACTGAAATACGCATAAATGTGCACATGGAGAAGATAGACGGGATCATTCTATACGTGTGATAACATGACAAAATGTATCCACTGTCTTTCGTTATTCAGCTGCTATAAAAAACACAATACATGTGTCGAGAAATGCATGAAGTCGAATGAAAGAAAACAAGATTTTTGTACATCGGTCCTTGTCTCACAAATTCAAGTAGTACTTTAGTAGAAGTTGTTTTTGCAGTAGTTTCAATAAATTTTATTTTCTTTCGACATTTCGAGTTCACATGAACTCATTTTCAAGATTTAAAAACAAAATTGTTAAAAATGATTATAAAGCTAAAAATACAAAAACTTGTCGCATATATTTATTGTTACTATGGCATGTCTATTGCTGTTTTTGCGTTAAAAACTTTTTTGATTCTTTTTCCTGTAACCTCCAGGATCAGGTATAAAGGTTGAGGGTATACCTAGCGGATAAATGTAAAGGGGTGTTGATGCAACTGTTTTATTTAGAGTGGGATTTAATCTTTTTATGGCTAAAGCTTCTTTTATTAGAAGTCTTTGTGTTTGTTTATCAGTCATTAATAAATGATAGTCTTTTAATGTTATTCGTTTTCCAGTTTCAAACATATGTATATAAAAACGGTGATTTTTTGGCTACTGTTGGGATCGGTGGAATTAATGGTAATGTAATTGATGGTTGAGGTTGCTCGAATGGTCGCTGTATTTCACCAAGAGCGTTTAGACATGCATATTCTAGTTGTCGATCATTAATTATTTCGAGAAGTTTATGACGTAATTGTTGATTTGGAATAAGATGATGATTATTAATAATAGAATTTTGTTGTAATGGTGTGATACTATTATTTGTTTGTTGTTGTGATGTTGAATTATTTTATTGTTGTTGCTCAATTTGAAATTTTATTCCATGTTCATTGAAACGTTTGCTAATCTGTCGTATTGTTTAACCTATGTAATCATCATTACCGTCTTTTACAACTACGTGATAAACTAAATTAGATTTTAATGGATGTGGAATATTATCTTTTATTTGAAAATATTGTTGTATAGTTTTGGGTGGACGCTATATTATTCGTAGCTGTTTAGACGGTTTTTGGTGTTGAATTAAATGTTTTAATTTAGTAGTAAAAATTTGTGTCGTTTTATTACCGTTTGGGATTTCACAATATAAATATTTATTTTTATTATCAGTTTTTGGTTGTGATGGTGTGATTACGTTGGATGATGATGAATTCATTAGTTTTGCAATTTGTATTTCTATCTGAACTTCTATAAAACTACGCGGATAGCCGTTTTTTAGAGCAGTTACTTTTATAAATTCTAATTCATTATATAAAAGAACATAATTTGAGCATATGTGAATTGCTCATTTAATGATAGTATTTAGCGCTAATTTTTTATAGGAAATTGGAACAAATGAATCCCATTTAATCATAAGACCACTGTATGTAGGTTTCCTATCTACTGTTGTTCGATATGAGGGTGTTATCGTTGTTCTTATTCTGATAATCTTTACATCAAGGAAACTTGATGTATTATTTTGTTCTATTTCAACGGTAAATTGAATGTTAGGATGATAAGAATTTAAAACATGTAAAATGTTTTGAACAGAATCATTATTTTCAGCAAAAGTAAAGGTATCATCTACGTACCTTTTCGATAAATGTACACCATTTATTATACGCTCTGGCATGTTAACTTCTTCAAAATGTGACATATAAATATCAGCAGCCAGTGGTGAACCCATAAAAAGGTTGTCAATTTGTTCGTATAATTGATTATTGAACAGAAAATGTGACTGTGCTGCAGCCATCTCTAATAATGTTTTTAGTGTGTGCCGATTCAGACAGTTAAGGCAAAGATGTCTAGTACTGTGCATTTGTTTTTTACATTGGTGGTTTTGTGTTATATGTGGATACATTTTGTTGAGAATAATTTGTATTGTTGGTGCCATTGGTATTTGCATATAAAGATTTTGTATGTCGAATGATACCATTTGTTTCTCTAGATATTGTGTATTAAATGTTTTTGTTAATTTGATAAAATCAAACATGTCTTTGATGGTACAAGAACTTTTACAAAAGAGGTTTTAGGAGTTCAGCTAGCCATTTGGATAGCTTATAATAGAAGGTTTTAATGGAGGACATGACGGGTCTCAATGGTAGATTTGGCTTGTGAGTTATCGATAAGCCGTATAGTCGAGCTGGAAGTGAACCACATGATCTTGCTGCTTTGTAATCAGATTCACTAATTAATCCTTCTTTATGTAGCTTTAATAAGTAACGTGTTAGTTTATTTTCTTTTTGTATTGTGGGATCATGATCTAATTTTTTGAATTTCGTTGAGTCGGATAGAATACTGTTCATTTTGTTAACTGCTGTAAAAACAAATTCTCCTAATTTATCCTTGGTCATTTCTCGATATAAGTAGTACCTTAGTTTAAGAGTGATCAATCAAATGTACTGAGAAGGATTCTAATAAAGAATAGTATTTTTGAAAAATATATAAATTAAACAAGAAAACTTTCCGTTTTGTTATTAGACACAGAAGAAATTAACGTACTATTGCTAGAGCTACGAAATTTTTTCTTCCTGTTATTATTAAGTGGTTTTTTACGTCGCTGTTTTAACGGCATTCTTAATCTACACTATGAGAAACCAATACTTATAAAAAATATAGCAGTAACATTCTGTTAAATTTAAATGAAACAACCCTTCAAATTATTTACATAATACGAGAACATTACTTCATATTTAACCTTCTATACAATCACTATCAGAGGTGGACGATGGACGAGGATCCTTGCGAAGGCTCGGAAGTTTGCGAGGCGATCCGAGCAAGGGAGCTAAAGAAAGCCCATCGCCCATCTCTGAACACTATTGATTTTACGGCAAATGCAGAATTCTAGAAATTCAGATTTTGTAGAAACTAGAAAATCCTCTATGAAGAAGAAAGTCCACTATCTGTAATCTGTGATTTTGCACCCTCGTGCTCCTTTCCTACCCAGGTGAAACATAACTGACATTTAATAAACCATGCAATGCGTTTTAAATGTATGCCAAAAAAATTGAGTTTTAACACCCAAATAACTGTTAAAAAACTGTTAGAAAACGAATTTAACATAACCCCCCCCCCCTCTCCATAATAGAAGTCCATCCTCTATTAGAAAGACCACTTCTACTCCTAGAAGACCACTGGTCCTCTATTATGTCCCGAAAAAAATCGGAAATGCCCTATACCCTACAGGGGAATTTTCAAAAGCATTTCGCCAAAACGTACTTCTGACAGGGGATGGACTTCAAGTTCGTGGGAGTTACCGTTGGACTACTGCCAAGCGACAAAATTTGAACGCAATAGAAGAACACCCTATAGAACTCGACTTGAGGGACAAAATAGAAGAAAAATGGCTGTTTCATTCATCCTTGTATTTTGCAATCATGACTAGTACATGTATGTATATATATATCAGTGAAATTTAGAAGAAATTTGCAAATTTTTCTCTTCTCCGATTGTACGAGTCATCGAAACTGTCTTTGAGGAAGTCGCCACTGTTCCGAATCCGGTGCCATTTATGACACTGTGGGTCTAAGGAATCAAAAATGTTAAAAATTTTGGAAATCACTGTATTTGAAGTACTAATCAAAAAAATTAATCAGAAAAAATGTTCGATAATTGATCGTTAACAGTCAGCACCGTTTTCGAAGTTCTGGGTAGTATCTCCTAATTTGCTTTGTATGAACGGATGCTGACCGTTGTTTCGTATTATGGTCGACTTATCGTCACGGACTTTTATGGCCCAAAAAATTTGATCGTTTGATTCTGAACTTGATCAAACCTCTTAAACTATTCGCTTGATAGAAGGAAAACATGAACTGTGAAATATACAGGAAAATCTATAATTTTTAATCCACAAATAAACAAAAAAATGAGAGGAGAATATATCTAGAGAGACAACACAAAAAAAAACATCAGATAATGTAAAAGAACACAATACATATAACAAAGAATCGTGATTACATGTTTAATTTTCTAGTAGAAAATCTCGAATTAAACAAACAAAACAATATTTTTCTACAAATAGTCCAAAAATCGACGACAAAAGTAAAGAATAGTTTTCTAGTAATAGTTCTGTTTTAAAAAAGAGTCTATCTCGTTTAGAAAATTCGACTGTTATAAAGCTTTTAATGGTGATTTGTCATCTCTACTTTTCTTTATAATCACTCGTAATTATAAAATCAGGACCTCTCTCATAATCATCTTCATTCAATTCCTCTGAATTGATTAACAAATGATGTTCCTTCAAACTTAAATTATTATTAAATATTCTTAACGATTCTTCAAGATCGTCAATATCTATTGAATCATAGTCAATTTTGATACAAATTTCTAATTTAACTTGTTTCAATTTTTTAAATGAGGATAAGAATTGAATCCACTGATCACTATCGATAAAATGAGACTCATTATATTCGCATACTTTTCCG